TTATTATGACCTAGAAATTAACGGGACTAGAACATATTTGAACCAGATGCAGCGTAATTGTTTGGAGCCTTGTAACTTTTTCGTCAGCTGCTTGGAACTAATTTAGTAAATTGAATAACTCCTTGTTGGAATCCCATAGCTGAAGGTAGCATATCCAGAAGTGTGCGTTTCTTGTATTGTGAAGGTCTATAAATATGCTGGAGAATTATATTAATTCCTTGATTTCAGGGTCCTCTTGCAGCCCCAGTTCTTCAACATCTGACAAAAGATGACTTGAGCAAGATATACTTCGGAGAATTCCGAATGTTAGATGTCAATGGTGCACACTGCTTCATCACTAGAACTGGGTATGTTTCTTTTGGTTTCCGTGTTTACTAATCAAGAAATAACAGTTTCCTCACAATGGGAGGCCTGATCAATAACATTTATCCATAGTAACTGGTTTTGTGGCTGAAAAAGAAGCTGAGAATAGTGATTAAACTTAAAGGTTTAGTTTCTTCTTGTGCTTATTTAGGGTGTCATATACATATAGCAACATGGGTTATATGGAAACTCTTGCATGTTCTGTCACTGTTCATACTCTCTTAGTGAAGACTATACTTGAGAAGATTAATTGATAAAATCGTATCTCTTCACTGTTTAATTTTTAGGTACACTGGTGAGGATGGATTTGAGATCTCAGCCCCATCAGAGAATGCTGTGGAACTTGCCAAAGCAATCTTGGAGAAATCGGAAGGGAAGGTAAGGTTGACGGGGCTTGGTGCGAGAGACAGTCTTCGACTAGAAGCCGGGCTATGCTTATACGGAAATGACATGGAACAGCACATAACACCTGTTGAGGCCGGACTTACATGGGCCATAGGGAAGAGAAGGAGGGCAGAAGGTGGCTTTTTGGGCGCTGAAGTAATCCTCAAACAACTTGAAGAAGGTCCAAAAATCAGGCGTGTAGGATTCATCTCCACAGGGCCGCCTCCAAGATCCCACAGTGAGATTCAAGATGAGAAAGGAGAAAACATTGGAGAAATCACCAGTGGAGGATTCAGTCCCTGCCTGAAGAAGAACATAGCTATGGGGTACGTGAAATCTGGGCTGCACAAGGCAGGCACCAAAGTCAAGATTGTTGTCCGAGGAAAGGCCTATGATGGAACTGTCACAAAAATGCCATTTGTACCCACAAAATACTACAAGCCATCTTAATTTCTTGGTGCTTCATCTTCATGAATTATTTCTTTTTCTAATGGATTTCCTCCTTTGAGCTTGTATTAAACTTGCCGGGTTCAGTAAATGCTAATTTCATCTCCCTTTACAGAATATATGTGACTTTTCTTTTGCTTATTGTTATGATTGATTGTTACCAACACGCAGA